TTGTTTACAAATAAACATGAATAAAGAGGTTCACGCGTCCAACTTTGACTTTTGCAAGATGATAGTTCCTTGAGGACTAAACAAAGTACGTCTTGGTTAAGTTTAGACATATTTTCAATAAAAAATAAAAAAAAAAAAATTATTAAAGAAATCGGAACATATGGGAGGTTTGCTATTAAAATCAAGTTACGAACATAGTAAATCATATGATCCGTAACGTGATTTTAATAGCTTACCTCCCACACCAATTCAGAAAATGCAACCCGTGATTAATTAAAGCCTAAACATAAATTTGAAAAATAAATTGAATGTAAAAAAAAGGAGAAAAACATCTGAAGATAATTATAAAATTTGCCGTTGTTGTTATAGAACAAATGAAACCTTTAATCCAATTGGAATTGGAAATAAATTATAGACGATTTTATCAAATATACACAAATTAATGATACATTTGAAGCAAAATGGAGATCATTCCATATGATAAACCCAAAGATGTATAAATTAGTGGTGAAGGGGATTTAATAACGTTTATAAAGCTATTTGGATTGATGATCCAATTACTTTTATGGAATAAAATAGAAAAAATACAAACGAGAATCTAATAAACAAGTTGCTCTTAAGAAACTTAACAATTCTATAAATTTACTTCTAAGGAGCTAAACGAGGTATATATTTGTTTATTTATTGCAATTATTTTAATTCACTATGTTAATAATCTTTTTTCAGATTAAAATATCTTATAAATTGAGAGTAGTCGATAGTTATATTATTGAGTATTTTGGGATTACGCAAGATCCTATTACCAAAGATTTAGTGAAAATTATGAATTATTGTGATGCAGGTAATTTGATTCGTTATATAGCTGAACATCGTTATAATCTTAGTTGGAAATATAAGTTATATCAACTATATTTGATTGCTTATGGCCTGTTGTGTTCGCTAAGTAAGTGATCAATAAAAATCTTATAAATTTGGCTTTCGCCAGAAAATTATTTCCTTTTTTTGATCGAGAAAGTTATGTCACAAGTAGTCAAATAAATACATTAATGTAAATATTACAATTTAAAAGGCTTTAAAGTTTGTTCAACAAAATTTGTATGCAGTATTTGATTCATATAAAATTAATGAAATATTTAAATGTCTGCTTTCAGATAACCTAGACACTCTGTAACCTTCGTGATCTTATTGTGCTCTGCAGAATATGAGAATACTTCAATGTCTCTTTATCATAAAATTGAGCTAAAAAGTTTATGATAAGTGACAGCTAAAATAGGACATTTCATCCGATACCTCTAAAATAATATTAAGTTAAGGATTGTTCGTGAATGATTTAATTCTCTATTTCTTTTATCTAAACTAACGACCTAGAATTCGAGGAATTGGCAGCGAAATGATCATGTTGAAAAATCCGAACTTGAATATTTGTTGGAGTTTATGCTATCATCTCATATTCTACTCCTTTATCTATTTAAGATTAACGTTAGATGAAATAGGAATGTAAAAAAATAATGGTGTGATGACGATATTGTTTCTATATTAAGAATTTCTTATTTAATCAGGACTTCTATATATTCTGTCAAGATATCTTAAGCAACGATCAAGAATGATTATTCTTCGTTGTCAATAACGATCATTCGAGCAGGATTCAATTTGAAGTCGTCCAAACTAGATTGTTACGCATCCTATATGATTTTGTTTAAACCCTAGTTCGTGTGACTTCGCTTCTGTCGTAAGACCGGTAGAGAGGCTGTTGGTTTATTAGGATACCAGAATTCTATTGATTTATGAGAAATTTTTCTTAAAGCTGTACGTGAATTGCCTACTAGAGATAATAATTCTCTTTAATAAATTAATTAATTAAATTTACATGATTTCCCATACGTAGTGAAGGATTATCATATTAACTCTGAATACCTAAGTTAATCCATAACGAAGTATGGATCAATCTGGCTTAATGTATGGTGTATAAACCGATAGATATTTTTGTCTACATACTTTCTAAACTTTTTCTTTTTATCCTTTTTTTCACTTTCCCTTCTTTTTTATCACATTTTCTACATACGTAGTAATAAAAAAAACTTTGGAACTGGTGAATATTACAAAGCAGAATCCATTATTATAAATATATCATCATTTATGATAAACCCTGTGGAGTAAATGACAAAAAAATCCATCTGTGTATACATATGGGATTAGGGATTTAACCCTCGATTAATCTCAGATAGAGCTTTATTCACGGGTTGCAGCTTATTCGATATCGATATTATAAAGTGAGAAAGAAATCAACCAAAATTATATTGCCAATAATATCGAATTCCGCCTCACAATTGATTCAAAGATCATTAGTAGAATATTTGTTATGGAAAATCGCATACACTGAAATTAATAATCTATTACATTTAGACCCGCAGTTTCTTTTTATCACTTTATCTTCTAAATACGAACTTCCGTACTCTAATGAAACTAAACTTTCAATAGATAATGTGTTCATTTGTAAAATAAAATTCATGTTTCTAAATGATTTATTTGTCTTGTATGATATGTACAAATTTTTTGACATGTAAAATTTATTTTTGTCTTTCAGGATCAAAATAAATTTTTTCAGCAATTATAAACTAATCATCTTTTTCATCTCAGAACTTTGATTATAAATTAATGTTAATGTTACTTTTTCATATTGTTCAATTCATCTCAGAAATGCATATACAAAATTTCATTGTTCTACTAAAATAATTTATAATTCAATTATTGTATTCGAAAATAGAGCACATCACGAAGTGAGTATATTATTATTCAAATTCAAAAATCTTTAATTTCTAACGAAAATATTGTTATTTCACCAAATACTATTCGACGCTCATTGAAAAGGCAAGGTCTTGTAGCTAGAGTTAAAAAA